CGATCGGCGCAAGGATGGTGCTCAAGTGAGAAGCACCTCTTCAATGAGGACATTGGAGGCTCAGAGCCTGGGAGAGGCTGCAAACACGGTGTTCGATTCGCCGGGTGGCGCCCGGATCACTTTTTCTACGTCTGGTGACCGGCAAGGCCAAAACTATTGGGAAATTCCTGTCAATGCCATGTTGGGGATCTACATGGAACAAAACACGGTTTCGAAAATGCACCTCACTGGAATCTCCCTGGAAGGCGATGTGTACGGCAATGCGGACATTGAGGTGTTTGCTATGAACGTTCTTAGGACGTTGAGTACGCCCAGCCCGGTGCAGATTCATCCGGAGGATAAGAGGTTTCAATCTGGCTACGGAGACCCTTCCATCTTGGGTCGGACGGAGAACCCTCGTGTTAAGGAACTGACGTATGCTGCGTTCAGCGCACTGGCTCAGGATGGCAGTCTTTTTGGTGCTCCTCTGCACAGCGACAAGTCGAGTCGCTCTATGGCCTGTGAGACCAGGATTGACGGAGGCAAGCCCATCCACAGCAACGGGGGTAGGTCTGCGCTGTCGCTTCCTATGCGCTCCGTTGACTCGTCTGCGGCATCTCATGTCCGGAAGATGTCGGCCAGGTGGTACTGGCCTTTGAACCAGTCAGTCAGCTTGTCGGCCGTGAAGGAGAAGACCGGTGTTGTGTTGGACGACAACTCTGTCTTGTTTATGGGTGTGCGCCCGAATACGGAGACTAGCCTCCATGGTGTAAAGAGCGAGGGCGGTGGTAACACTGGATTGTTCGGATACCTGAGAAGTTTCCGTACTACTTTATACTTGCGGCGGGGGATGATATGAAGCGTCAGATTAGTTTGCACGTAGTTTAGAAACGGACCGATTTGGCTTTGCAATTGAGTTACTCGTCTAAAGTAAGAACGTGCTTAACTGTGATCTTGATATGGTACGGGGTGCCGCCCTCATCTCATCAGCGGCGTGGGCTTTATGTAGTCACATGTGTTGACAGGGGGTAACGCTGCATCGCCTGTTTGGCACCCTCAAACGAAGGGAGCAATGCTTAAGTTCCACGCTACCGCATCCGGTGCTACAGGGATTCGACGAAAGGCTGCCTCGGCATCAGCAGCATAGTCGTTCACCAAGGGAAAAGGAGGCCGTGGACGACATATGAAGACGCTCGAGAGTCGCTCAAGCCGTCCGTCGGTGGGCGAGCGCATCTGCTACTCTTCATCGCAATGTCTGCTGGCGATATACGTTACAGCCTAATTGACTCGGCAGAATCGATGTCCAATCTACTCACGTCACAACAGAATCTTCTGATCGGTCTGCCGTCGCTCTTTTTAGACCTGGAAGGCGAGAGTCTCTCGGAATGGCTCCATTTCACTGATTACCGTCTTTGTTCTGCCCCGAAGTCATGTCTACCTCGTCGACATCCACACCATGCAGTGTACAGCATTCTCGACCGCGGTTGGAGGAACAACCTTCAAACAGATTCTTGAGTCTCCGGACATCACCAAAGTCTTTTTCGATGTCCGCAATGATTCTGACGCCTTGTTTCATCACTTCCAAGTGAAGCTGAGCGGCATCGACTCGAAGACGTGCAGCTGATGGAGAACGCAGCTCGCCCGCGCGGGCAACGGCGATATCTGAATGGATTGGATAAGTGTATCGCATCGTACGCACCTTTGTCACCCGAGGAGAAGGCTCGCTGGAAGGCCGCCAAAGAAGCCGGGCTCAATCTGTTCCATCCTAGCAGAGGAGGATCATACGAAGTCTTCAACTCGCGACCGATGTCTACACCCATCGGAATCTACTGCATCAACGACGTGCGATATCTTCCCCACTTGAGGGAGGCATTGTGGCCGCAGCTTGATGGAGTCTGGCGGCAGAAAGTGGGGGAGGAGACAAAGAAACGTATCTTGGAATCGCAGAGCCCATTTTACAAGCCGCAGTCGGAGACTAAAAAGTTTGGGCCATGGGGTAGAGCTTGAGTCTATCAGGAACTAATGTACTTCTTTCGACGAATGCTGTCGGAATTGCCAACCATGCCGTCGTTCCGGAACGAGCTATGGAACGGGCCGCGGCCGCTACTTGTCATTAGCTCCCGTAACCCCTGTTGTGTGGGACGGGACTTCACCTCGCCGCTGTCCTATAAGCCAGTGCAGTCTTGTTGGTTGGCTTGCATATATACGCCCGTAAAACAAGTCCACCGCCAGACTACTGTGCTCTGTATACTGCATTCTCGCCGCCTATCATATTCATTCTGAGTTGATTACCCCGCGCCGCTCTTGTAATGCTTTAAATAAGCCGTCCCCTGACTGTGGGCGAAAGCCTTCAGTGAGACGCTCACCTTCAGACATCATCATTTGCGCAATCGCTCGAAAGACGGAAACGGACTCTTGTCCCAAAAAGCACATTGTCTTCCTACCTCAAGATGGCGAAGAAAACCCCTTGCAATCGCAGTACCGGAAAGAAGACTTCTTTTACGTTCCCGCTGCTTCACCCAAAAGTCGACGACGTTATCGACCATATTACCGTCGTCTGGGTCAGCAGAAAGACTAAACGAGAGCCCAACAACACTCACTCCACCTCGGTAGTGGGAAAGTTCACTTGCGATAACGGTGCTTGTTCCAACAAAACTTGGACAAGCGGAAACGTGACTTTGCAGATAAGGATACCCAGGAGGCGGTTAAAATGCAGTCCTATACAATCAGCGATGCAGAGTGTGCAATCGACTGGGGATTTTCTCCCTGGATGAGGTCACATACGTCGATCGAATCGCATATCGGTTGAAGAAGTGGGCGGGCGTGGCAATGGAGCGGCGTGTGTACGAAAAAAAGGCTACTCCTCCCCACAAGAAAGAGCTTTGTGAGGGCTGCAAGAAAGGCTGTTGTAGAGCAGGCCTTGGTAATCTGAATGTACTGAGTTGAGACATTCCAAAGGTGATTTCGGACTGGGGAGGTCTCCGAGTAGAGAGCGTTGCAGCTTAGCCTTGTAATACTGACGGCGTATCCAAGTTCAGCTTTGCGATGCAGTCAACTACAATAGAGGGGCGTGGCTATCTTTCCACTCCTCTCATAAACAGATCCATCAAAGCTTGCATTGAACTTGACGGATCGCGGTGGAAGCTTATCGGAACTGCGGGAGGTGTGATACGTTGGCAGAAGGTGAACGGTGCCCCAGCGTCAACAGCGGATGAACGACGCTGAGTGCAGACAACGGCAGCACGACGTGTTCGTACGCAATGACTAGCAACACGTTATCCTGGAAAGAGGCACCACTCGAGACCCTCCAGTGTGCTCTGGCAGCACGATCGGCCTC